GGTCCCTTCTGACCCTACCAACTATGAAATTATGAAACCTCCCCAAATACCAGTACACAGCCTGAATGACCACTAGTCAACAGGAAACATGGAGCACAAGGATGCATGCGAATATTCCCCTGACCTTCTCTGGATTTTAGGTACTTCACTCAGTGCTATAATCCACTCAGTCTCCAGAACACAAAGACCTCTTCTGAGAGTAGATGCCCCACTTAGGCATTTCCACACACCTAGGAATCTGCATTTAGGCATCTAGAGATCTTTTCAATCCAGCACTTAGGTGTCAAAATAATTTTGACACTCATGGAATTCTGTTAACCTTTGTACACCTAACTGGTAGTTTTCCAGCCATGTAAGCACCCTTTTTGGTACTTAAGTAGTTTCCACTTGTATTAACATTGCAGTGTGGATGCATAAGTATACATGCATATTCTGAGTGTGCTTAGTAGACTATATACTGGCTGGGCAGATGCACATGTACACAGTTGTGTAAGTCGCAAAGCTTATCCAGACAAAAACCCATAGCTAGTGGCTGTTAAATCCTCCCATATTTTGGGTCAGTGGTTAGGGACCGCACCCAGAATGCAGGAAAATTGGATTCTATGCCTATCCACTACCAGCCCAGAAAGATGATGTCTGTCTCCAACTTTCCAAAGTAGTATATTAAAATCACCACACTGCAGGTTAGGCATGAGCTAGCACGCTTTCTGAGTCAACATGCTCCTTCTGAAATTGGTCCCTGGGCAGTCAAGAGAGGGAATTGTGGGGCAAAGAAAAGAGCAAGCTAGAAGGTGTGTGGCTCAATAAGATGGATGCTGCTTTGGAGAGCAGCAGGCTCTGCATTCTAGCTTGGACTCTTGATTGCAACGAAACAGAAATGTTCCCATTGTTCCATCCACTTTATCTAATCACTACTGAATCCAAATTGCAATGGCTCAGCTTTAAAGTAAGTGTTGTAGAAGAATCTAGGTAATGTGGCATTGTGGCACCTGTAGCATGGTAGCTAGAGCACAGCATTGAGAAGCTGAAGCAGTTTCAAGCCCTTTCTGGGTGAGAAGTGCCTAAGAACTTGGAGTTTTTCTGCTTTTGGGGCAAATTCCCATAACCACTCAGATATTAGAGCAGTGGTTCTCAACCTTTTCAGGCTCAAGGCACCCCTTTTAAGACTCAAGATACTCCTCCATAACTTTTGTAAGTTAACACCACACTTCAAAAGCTAATGTATTTATTACAGTACTTACTTCCTTGCAGAGGAGTCAGACAGTGGGGCAGGAACCACCAAGGAGGGAAAGCTTAAGCTTTACTTTATTTATCTCTTCATGCTGGGAGCTTGCCTTGATCTAATTATCTTCTCACATCTCCCTTATCTCCTCACATTTCCTGCAGCACCCTTCAATGGATTTTGCAGCACCCTAATTGTGAACCACTACATTAAAGCTAGAATATTAATGACCCTTTTATGAAAAGATGCAGAAATTCTTTAAAAAGCTAGGAGGAGCTGCTTGCCCTGACTGGTAATAAGGTACAGCTGGGATAAATCAGATCCCTAGCAGGTTCTCAGATGAGAGCATTTATAAAGGTCCCTCCCTGACGGAAAGGGTAAAGAACCTTCATAGTTTGTCCTTTCCTATTACCTGGTGAAGTGAGTTGTCACTCATGAAAGCTTATGCATTTCTGATTCAGTTATCCTATAAAGTGCATCTCAACCTTGCCTCCTAAGCTGAAAGAGGCAATAATATTTGCTCAATTTTCTTTGAGGTGAGAAGTGGGTAGAAGGGCCTGCATTTTTTCTGCTAACAGAAGTTTCAAAGTAAAGAATCTGCTTTTGTTTGAACTCTGAAATGGGGCATAGCTCTAAAATGCACTAAGCCTTCTGACGGCATAACCAGCTCTTACCCTGTCTTCCTGCCCCCGAGACAGCCAAATTAGCTATTCAGTCAATGCACAGCCTACTGAGGCTGCTTAGTGTATGCTTAGACATCCACATTACATGGGAACAAACTGTTCAGGAGTGCCAAAAATACCACCTACATGGCTGGGTAAGTGCTGTGTAGTTGCACAAAGTGTACCAGAATTCCACCCTGAGTTTTGTGGCTGCTGGGAGAGGTATAGTCTGTATTGCTTTCTTGTAATTTGGCATCTAAATCCTGTTTAGGCACCTATGAGAACAGCTTGGAACTGGCCCTTTGTCTGTAGTGTTTAGTGACAAAGCCTTAGGTGAAATTCAAGGGATAGTGGTTGCAATGAAGAAGATAATACTAGAAATAATGATACTGCATTTCACATGGGTGAGAAAATCGGTGTATGATCCTTTGGTTAAGGCTGGGACTCGTGATTTAATTTGCATTGTTGGCTCTGCCATGTACTTTCTCTGTGACTTTGGGAAAACCAGTCTAGGTCTAAATGGTAAATTTACCGTGCCCAGCAACAGCACTCGCAACCATACTGGGCTGCTTCTGTTGGGCTACTTCCTAACTGAAAGCACTAGAGTCATATCTGAGCAGTTGCTGCAGACCGGTTAATTTCTGCTGTCACTAAGGGTGCAGACAGAAGTGACAACTTTTGCCTGATTTGGCCACAGAAAGCAGTCTATAATATGACCAAGCACAAGTGCATGGCTGCACACAGCATCAAAAATGGCCGCTTAAGTGAAAATCTGCCCCTCATTGCATAAGATATCAGATAAAGACATTTCAGAATGTAACATCTTCTGTAACTTATATCTGTGGAGCTCCCAGCCTGTTGCTGTTTTCAGAATGGGAGGGAGGAAAGGGAGCAGAGGGATTTCAGTCTGGGGCAGGGGTTTCTGTCCCCTTGGAGGGTGGCACAGGCATATTGGAGCCCACCTGAGGTGGGGGGGGGCACTCCAATTCATCCACCCCACAGTTCAACACCAGCTGGGGAGCCCCAGGAATGAGCTCCCTCCACTGCCTTTCCCTCCACCCCATTCTGAAAACATTGAGCACTGGCAGAGAGCTGTGGCCATTGTGATGGGAACCTGGCTACAGGCTTCCAGACTGCAGTTAGATTCCTCTTCCCCTGGAAACAACAGTGAACTTCTGTTTGGTCTGGGGTAATGTAACTTAAAACGCTTTGCAGAAAGTTATAGCTGGAAGCTGCACTTCTGTCTGCATCTTATGTAGTCCTAATTAGCCTACCAAAATGCCAGACTCTATTATACTGCTTCTGGTTTAGGAGGCAGCTCAACCACAGCACCCCAGTATGCTAGCAGCTAGTCCTGTTGGGCATGGTAACTTTACTGCATAGGCATCATTTCATTTACATATTCTTTTGAGAAGGGATTTAATTCATTCTTCTTCAGGATAAGTATGCTCTGGCATCAAAAAGACTTAAGCATTTGCTTAAATGGTGTCCTGGATGGAGGTGTTTTAATTACAGCCTTGATCTCTCTATAACTGAGTCCTGATCAGTAAAATGATATTGTTACTTCCTTTCCCTATTTTGTCTATATATCGATTGTAAGCTTTTCAGAGTTCAGAGCATTTCTTACTATGTGTAAAAATCTAATCTGTGCTGAATCTTGGTGTAAAAGTGCAGTGGCAATAGAAAGAAGAACTCAACAGTTGGAATTTTGGGGACTGTCATAAATAAAACATGCCAGCTAGAAAAAATCTGGACCAGGGTTAAGCAAGTGAAAATTCACTTATTCTCAGAAAATTTATTAGCAAATGCTTCAGTACAAGTACAGTAACAAGTAAATCCTCAACTGATACTTTTTTTCTAATCTACAGTATGTACAATGAAATCTAGTTACTCCCTGATTCAGTTTGAAAGCTATGGTTTAAGACAGCAAGTGCCTGAAAAAAAAAAAAAAAAAAGACGACTTGATTGATTTACATGACACTATTTTAACTGAGAATACAGTAAAATAATTCAAAAACAGTTTGACATCTTGGAAGACAACCTTAGATTAAGAAATGTCAGGTTTGTAGAGCACAGAAAGAGGAGGCCATGATATATTTTTTTCAATGAATAGCAAAGGTGTTGGGGAATTGATACCTATAAAACTCCTGTACAATGTGTTGTAGCACATTGAATCCTTGGAAAGGCCAATCAAGTAACACATTATATGGTGCTTGTGAAATGCTGCAACTTTTGGATTGAGGAACAAAAATTTGAAACTAGTACATAAATCTGAGTCAAGTTGTTAGGTCTAGAGATTTTCTTTTATCTGGATTACCCTGCTGCTCTTATTTGATGTTGGAAGATGTTTATAAACTCTTAAAATGGGAGTGAAAAATATATGCCAAGATAATGTGGTGCCACATTCACTTAGTATGAAGGCTTGTTGGAAATATCAAACTTATGTCTTTTTCTCACATGCACTGAATAGAAGGCAATACCTGCATCTGGATGGCAAAAGAAATGTTTTTGGAGGACACTGAAATGTATAGTACAAAGCTTACCTTCTTCATGGGAAACATATCCTTCCTGATAGTTACTGTTTTAGACAGTGGACTGATAGACTGCATTTGTTTTACGTATACTGTATTTATCTGAATATAAGATGACCCCCTAATTAAATTATATATGCAAAAAAGTTAGAAATTTGTTATAATTTTCTAGATATAGAATCTCATTATTGGATGTTTGCCTTGAGTTTGTCCCCCTGCTATAGCAGGGAAACAAAATCAGAGGGAAGTTAGGAGGGTGCAGTAGGAAGAATGGGGAAGGAAGAATGGCAGTGAGAAGGGTTAAGAAAAGGGTAGGGACTTGGGGGAAGAAGAGGAGGAAGAAGAGGATGATGATATATTTTGACAGATGCATGAAGTTGAAATTGGAATGGCAGCTGTTTGAGAGGAGGTGAAGATGCATGAGGGAAGAAAAGGAGATGAACATACAATAGTTCTCTCTCTTTAAGTCCTTCCATACCCCAGGACCTGGGCTCTTGCTGGTAAGTAGGAGATGAGGGGGGCTGGAGGGGGAGAGGGGATCAGGTGCTGCCCCACCTGGCCCTGTTCCCCGCCTGCCCCCCCCAAGCCTCCCTGATCACTGCCCCACCTGGCCCCAGCATCCCAGCAATTAAAAAAAATAAAGACCTGCAGTCACTGGCAGTAGCAGCTCCGTTGGGGTCACTGGGGCCCTGCCACACAGCACAGGACTCAGGTGACAGCCACAGTTAGGGGGGTTGTTTGTTTGTTTTTTTTAAAGTGCCAGAAAGTTGGGGCCAGAGAAGCAGTCTTTGCGAGGGGGGGAGGGTGCAAGCAGGGGATGGGGTCAGACAGGGCAGCCATTGGGGAGTCTGGGGGAGCAGGCAGGTGGTGGGACCAGGTGGGGCAGCCATCAAGGTGCTGGGGGTGCAAGCAGGGGTGGGGAAGCCATTGGGGCTGCAGGAGAAGCTGGGGGATGGGGCCAGGTGGGGCAGCAATATGTGGGGGGCTAAGGGAGCAAGTGGGGTGGGACATGGGCCCTGCAGAGGGGGTGGTAGCCCCTGCGAGGGCCATGTGGCCCCTGTTGGGGGGGTCTATAACCCCTGTTGGAGGGCTGTGGCTCCTGTGGGGGGCTGTCCATGGGCTTTGTGGGGGGGCTGTACCCTGTGGTTAGTGAAGGGGTCACAGGGAGCTCTAACTACTCTATGGTAAGAAAACCAAAGTGAAACAGCAAAATATATAGGTATATAGAATTCATTTTATTATGATAGAGATACTAGTAGGCTTCCAAATTGCTTTAACACTGTAGATATATCTATAAAACATTGCCCAACTGATCCCTCTCTCTCATATATATGTCTTTTGTTGTAATTGCGGAGGAACATGGATTTCAGGATATTTTACAGAGTGACTGGGGTTTTTTTAGTCAGGGATTTCAGTTTTCAAATAGGGAACTGTAACAGGGGTGCCTCTTTGCGGTCTGTCTACCGGTGGCCCAGCCCACCTGTTCTGGGCCAACCGCCCACCTTCTTTCCTGCCATGCCTTGTTGTTAATTGATTAGTAGATGTAATCAAGTGGGAGGCTCCCCATTTTTCTGCCCCGATGCCAGGGAGTGCGATCTGCAGCTCCGTTCCTCCCCTACTCCACAGCCCAAGCCTCGCAGATGGCATTTGTAAATTCCTCTTTATGTCGGGGCCTCGGTCACTGTGGGCCTACTCCCTTTTCTCTAGCTAGGCCTGTCAGTCAAAAAAACCCAACCGACTAATCAGGGTTTGACTCCCAGGCTCTAGCTCAAAAAAACCCCCTCACTTGGGCTCCTGCCCTTCTGTGGCACTGGGGTCCACTCACCCCTGAATCTTGTGCCCCCTCCAGTACCAGGGTCAGTGCCCCCAAAAATGCCATTCCCTGACTGGTGCCAGGGTTGGTGCGCCCCAAAACTGTGCCCCCTGTGGCACCGGGGTCAGCACACCCCAAAATGCTGCGCCCTCTGGTACCAGGGTTGGTGCGCCCCAAAAGTGCCGCAACCTCTCTGGCGCTGGGGTCCTCACACTGCCATGGGTACCCTATGAGGCCTCCTCCATCCCCTAATAGCCTTACCCAAACCACCGGTTTTAAACAGCAAACAAAACAAGCCCCTGGGCTATAACACAAATTCAAGCTGCCCGGCTATAACATCATCCAAGCCACACCTGGGATGCTCCAGCCCTCACCCCTATCAGAGGCTGTACCTGCAGTCAGGCCTCTCCCTTCTAGTTGCCCTGGGAGAGCCCCTTCCCCCTTGGCTGCTGGCAGGGAACTGCCATCCTGGCCTCAGCGCTGGGGTTTATATATGAGCTAGGCCCTGCCCCTTCCAGTCACCTGACCGGCCCTCAGGGCTTAAGCCTTAACCCCTACTTGACCGGCCGGCTGTGACTGGAAGGTTCTGGGCTTAAGGGGCCACTCCTAGTAACAGGGTTAGGGTTCCCTGTTACACACACCCCCCCCTCTTCTCTCTTGTCCAGGTTCCTTCTGTTTCCCCTAGCCCCTCTTCCTCTTTTGTAATTTCTCGAGAAGAAATTGGCACTTACATTCTGGGTTCCAGGGCAATGCTTTACCTCAAAACAATATGGTTGCAGACTAAGGGCCCATCTTATCAGTCTAGCATTGTCCCTTTTCATGCTCTGTAACCAGCGTAGTGGTACGTGATTGGTGATCAGCGTGAACTGCTGCCCTAACAGGTAATATCAGAGCATTTCAACAGCCCACTTAGTCACTAAACACTCTTTCTCTATAGTGGCGTAATTCCATTCCGGTGGGTGTAGTTGCCTACTTATGTAGGCTATAGGGCGCTCTTCTTCTCCTTCTTTCTGAACCAACACTGCTCCAATAGCCACATATGATGCATCAGGAAAGGTTTATTAAAATCTGGTGTATATAGTAGGGGTTGCAAGCATAGTGTGTCCTTCACTGCTCGGAATGCCTTTTCCACATCTGGCATCCATCTCATGTTGGTTGGAACCGCCGCCTTTATCATTTCCATCAAAGGCACTACTAAGTCTGCAAAGTGAGGTACAAACCTTCTATAATAACTAGCTAGCCCCCAAAAAGCCCTCACTTATTTCTTGATATCAGGAGCTTGATACTTTTGCAATGCATCCATCTTGCTTAACAACAGTCTTACCTTCCTGCTTCCTACTAGGAACCCAAGGTATTGTGTTTCTTCTTTCCCTATTGCACATTTCTTTGGATTGGTTGTCAGCCTGGCTCTTCTCAAGTCTTGCATTACTGCTCTCAGCTTGGTGAGGTGTTGAGCCCAGTCTTCAGTGTATATAATATCATCAGTGTAACTGCCGTGGGGAGCCAAAACTCTGTCCATTAGATGCTGAAGTGTAGTTGCGGCTCCATGTAATCTGAATGACATGCGCCAGAACTGGAAGAGACCCCAAGGGGTGGCAAATGCTGTTTTTTCTTGATCTTTGGGTGCTACTGGAACCTGCCAGTAACCTTTTGTCAGGTCTAAAGTAGAAATATAGTGAGCTTGCCCAATGTTTTCCACCAGTTCATCTACTCTTGGCATCAGATAGGCATCAAACTTAGCTACTGCATTTAGCTTCTGGAATTCGATACAGAGAAGAATTTTTCCATCAGGCTTAGGTACTGCTACGATGGGGCTCCACCAGTCGCTGTGGGGCTTGCATATGATGCCTTTCTCCAGCATCATTTCAATCTCCATTTTTATCTGGCTCTGCAGTCACTGTGGAATCCGTCTCCAGTTCTCACGGATCACCTGGCCTGGTGGAGTTTTTATCTGGTGTACCACACTCCGAGCTTCCCCAGGAGGTTCCTGGAACACATCTCCATACTCTCTGACTAGGTTGGCAGCCTGTCTTCTCTGCTTTTCAGATAGTCACGGGGCCAGATCTATGTCACCCGGTTCAGTTCCCTCTGTCAAGGAGGGTCCCAATTCTAATTCCTTGGGATGAAGAGCTAGGTACATACACTCCTGGTCTTCCCACTTCAACATATTGACATGGTAGGCTTGCTTCTTTTTTTGTTCATCTGTCTGATGCACCTCAAAGTCTACGGGCCCCACTTGGCATATAATTTCATAGGGTCCCTGCTGCTGGGCGAGTAACTTACTCTCATGGTCAGCCAATAGAACCAACACATGGTCCCCCAAGTCAAACTTCCTTTCCCATGCGCCTCGGTTATAATGCCTCACTTGTCATTGCTGGGCCTCTCTGAGATTTCCTAAAACCTCGCTCGGAGCTGCTTCAAGGTGTTCCCACAGTTGTATCATGTATTGGATCAAGTTTTGATCTTTACCATGCTGTTCTTCTCAACTCTCTTTAATCAGATCCAGGATTCCCCTTGGTTGCCAGCCATACAATAGTTCAAAGTGTGTAAACCTGGTTGAGCCCTTGGGTGCCTCTCTTACAGCAAACAACAAAGGTGGTATCATTTTATCCCAATTCTGAGGACTCTCAACCACTAATTTCTTTAACATTTGCTTCAACATCCAGTTAAAATGCTCCACGAGCCCATCCATTTGGGGATGATACAATGCCGTCTTCAGGTGTTTAATCCCCAAAGCTTTACTCACTCCTTCAAACAAGTGTGATGTAAAATTCATTCCCTGGTCTGTCAGCAGTTCTCTAGGGAGTCCTACTCTTGAGAATATTTTCAATAGCTCGTTTGCCACCTTTGGAGTGGACGCTGTCTGCATCGGCACAGCTTCCAGGTACCTTGTTGCATAATCCAGTAAAACTAAAATATACTGGTTTCCAGTGCTACTTCTGGGAAGTGACCCCATGATGTCTACCACCACCCGCTCAAAGGGAACCTCTACCAAGTGCATCGTAATTAAAGGAGCTTTTGGAGGGTGCCTTGGGTTCACTTTTTGGCATGCGGGACATGAAGCGGAATACCTTGCCACTTCGGGCAACAGTCCTGGCCAAAAAAATCTTGCCCGAATGGAGGCTTCTGTTTCGTCCCTACCCAAATGTCCACCCATAGGGAGCTCATGGGCCACCTTCAATAAAGCCTGTCGATATCGCTGAGGTACCAGCAACTGTACGACCTCCCCTCCTTCAGGCTTCCCTTGCTCAATTTGGTACACGAGGTCATTTCTTACCTCGAACCTCAGTGTTGTCTTCATCAGCTCAGGTCACAATACCTCGCCGTTTCGTAGAGCCAAGTGTTCCTGCAAAGCATACTGAAAATCTGCCTCCTGACTCTGCTCCAACTGGAAATGTTTGTCCTCCCACAAATGTGTGATATCCACCTCTTGTTCAGCCTCTTCTTCGGGAGGAGGTTGTTTGGTTTCACCTGTGAATCCCTCAGCCCTCGGGTCACCTTCTCATCCAGCCTTGGGCTTCCCAGTCTCCCAGGGCCTCCAACAGCTACTTTCTCTCATCTCAGTCCCTTCCTTTTGCCTCACGCTGGCTATCTCTTTCAACAACTCTGGCCAGTCACAGACCAGTACAACGCTCAGTGACCCCAACTAGTATCTGGCGGGTCCTATTGCTTACTTGTAGGATGACCCCTCACTCTGTCAGTTTCCATGGAATCCCTGCACCAGCATTGCACAATTACGCAGTCCGCTATTTCCCTATCTCTTGGCAGTAACACGTCGCTTTGCACCATGGTCTGCAATGAGCCTGAGTCGAGCATAGCCCATACCTTTTTTCCCTCCATCGTCACCTCCACCGTCAATGCGGGTGGCTCATCTTCCACCTCAGAGTCAACTCCGGCTCCATAGCCACACATCCGCACCTGGGTTGTTGATCGTGGGTGGATGATGGCTAACAGTGCCTGTTGTCTTGCGGCTTGATCCTGTAGGCCGTGTATTGTTTACCATAGCCGATCCAAGGCTTGCTGCTGTGACTCTGGGTCTGGGGTTAGTGTCTGTTCTTGTTTCTCTCTCTCCCTGGACCCAATACGGGTGAACCAGCGTCCTATGATGCATACTGCCGTATGAAAACTTCCCAGCCAATGCACCATTGTAACAGGGGTACCAGTGGCCCTGCCCACCTGTTATGGGCTAACCGTCCACTTTCTCACCTGCCATACCTTGTTTTTAATTGAGTAGTAGATGTAATTAACAGTCTGCAGCTCTGTTCCTCCTCTACACCACATCCCAAGCCTTGCAGATGGTATTTGTAAATTCCTCTTTATGTCGGGGTCTCGGCCACAGTGTGCTTACCCCCTTTTCTCTAGCTAGGCCTGTCAGTCAAAAAAACCCAACCGACTAATCAGGGTTTGACTCCCAGGCTCTAGCTCTCAAAAAAAACCCCTCGCTTGGGCTCCTGCCCTTCTGTGGCGCTGGGGTCCACTCACCCCTGAATCTTGTGCCCTCTCCAGTACCAGGGTCAGTGCCCCCAAAAATATCACACCCTCTCTGGCGCCGGGGTCAGTGCACCCCAAAATGCTGCGCCTTCTTTGGCGCCGGGGTTGGCACACACCAAAAATGCCATGCCCTCTTTGGCGCTGGGGTCCTGACGCTGCTGTGGGTCCCCTATGAGGCCTCTTCCATCCCCTAATAGCCTCACCCAAACCACCGGTCTTAGACAGCAAACAAAACACAAGCCCCTGGGCTATAACATAAATTCAAGCTGCCCGGCTATAACATCATCCAAGCCACACCCGGGATGCTCCAGCCCTCACCCCTATCAGAGGCTGTACCTGCAGTCAGGCCTCTCCCTTTTAGTTGCTCTGGGAAAACTCTTTCCTCCTTGGCTGCTGGCAGGGAACTGCCGTCCTGGCCTCAGCCCTGGGGTTTATATGTGAGCCAGGCCCTGCCCTTTCCAGTCACCTAACCGGCCCTCAGGGCTTGAGCCTTAAACCCTACTTGACCGGCCGGCTGTGACTGGAAGGTTCTGGGCTTAAAGGGGCCACCCTGCCTCTTAGTAACAGGGTTAGGGTTCCCTGTTACAGGAACACAAGAATTCCTGCTAGGGAGGCCAGTGGCAGGACCCAGGCAGAGAAGCCTGCTCAGAGCTGGCACCTTGGACCCAACTGTGGGTGGCTGACCTGGCCAGTTGGGGCCAGGAGAACATGCTTTGACAGTTCAAAGTAGACCATCACACTGGGAACATCTTCCGGGCAATAGCTTCCCAGATCGTCAGGCAGGGGGCACACATGGCAATGTAGCAAGAACTGAACTGATATAGCTGATGTTAACATAGAGTGTAATAATAGTGAAATGTAACCATGTTAGTCTTGTCCTGTAAGCAACTTAAAAACTCCATTTTGTATCCTTCTGCTTAACTTAAGTGAATGAACTCTGCATGGCCTTATATATGAGTGTATGTGAAAGGGTGAATGGTGAGAGAATGGCATAGAGATGGGAGAAAAAGATTTAACTGTTTATGTAAGCAACAAAGCGCCAAATGTAAGTTACCAATCAGTAAAGTAATTCATGGATGGCTGAAGAATCCCTTTGAGGCCTATGGCGCAAAGGAAATAATGAGGAGGGAGGCACAGATCCTGTCAAATGGGCAGCAAGGACACTCCAAGGCTGAGATACCAATTTTTACAACCAAACTGACTTTGGGCTGAGATAAGCAGAAGACGAATAAGGAATAACTGCAAAAACAGAAACTGGGTATGGAAAAACCCCAAAGCACTGAAACAAAGAATGCCAATCCCTATAAAAGAGGACTTTGAAAATGCCAGATTGGGTGAGTATCAACTGCTGTTTCTTCGGAGCACAGACGTGTCTGTTTCACCCCATTCCAAGCTGTTATCTCCAAAATCTTTCTCTCCCTCAATAAGGCCTGGGCCGGCCACCCAGTGCCATAATTGAACAACTGCTGCTGGTAACTGTAATGTCTGAATGGAATGGGTTTCTTATGTTTGTGTGTGCCTGTGTGTAATGCGCATGATGATTTGTGTGTGTGTATATGAGTGGTGTGTCTGAACCTCTGTATCTAATTCATGTAATCAATAAATGCAGCATTTTGCTTTATCCCCCTTTATAAAGTCTCGCTCTTGATTTGACAATTGGAATTCAAAATAACTGCAGTAATGCTTTTGGCACAAAGGCCAACTCTGCAGCCACAGCCCACTGGTAGCTGGCCCAGAGGAGCAGTTGCCTCTGACTATGTAGTCCGCATCTGGGTCTGGCAGGTGCGCAGCAGGTCACAGCCAGGCAGCAGCCCCTGCTGGAAGACTGCTGCAGTGGGTAAAGGGTGAAGGGAACTCTCCGGGCTGCTTCAGCAGTCCAGCTGGCACAAAGGGTAGTGTCCCCAGGTACCAACTGGCTGGGCCCCAGAAGCTCCTGAGAGCCAGTAGCCCTGAGCTACTTGACAGGGCAACTCTTTGTACTGCTGGGGCCAGGACAGGGCAGCTTTTTATACTGCTGGGGACAGCACAGGTGCTGGCCCCAGGCTTTAGTTCCCCCTGGCTGCAGATCCAGGATGAGCCAGGCAGGGTTATTTTCCCCAAGTGGCACAATTTGCCCCACACCAAAGTACATGTCTGGGCATGTGTGCTGAGGCAAAAAGCCCTGGCTCAAATTTGTATCACTTCTATTTGAACTGCTCCAAGTGCATGTGCTTGCATGTGTGGATGCACCCATTTAGTGAAATGAAGTGATATTGCTAATGGGATACAACAAAACTATGGAAGAAGCAGGTGATGGATTTATGGAAAAAAGAAGAATGGAGATACCTAGTAGATCTAGGAGGATAAAAAGAGGATGAGGCCTGAGAAGTGGTAAAGCTGTAGCTGTCATCCCAGGGGTTCGCTAGGGAAAGGCATGATAGAGGCTAAAACAAATCATATATGGAATTAAGGGGCGATAGGTGTTAATAGACAAGCTTGGAAAGCGACAAAGAAAAATGCAGTGTTAAGAAATGAAAGTGTCCAGGCTCCTGGATTAATGGGCGTTTGGAAAAGGAGGGAATCGTTCAATAATGTATAAATGTTTTTTGTTTCTCTTATTTGTCAGAGTTTTGGAAGTTGATGGAAGCATGCTTTAAGTTTTGAACCTTATTGTTTCATTTTCTCCTTAGTTGATGTCGTTTTTGTATGGTAATGTAAGAAGATGTAGAAGCATGTTCTAAGTTTCGATACCATATTGTTTTGTTGGCAGGTAATTGATGTAGTTCTTTTGTAATTTAATGTAAGCCAATGGAAACAGGTTTTTAAGTGCTTCATATTTTCATTTTAAAAAAAGGTTCCCATCAGTATGTTTGCCCAATATAGGCCATGTGTTTTATAGTCACGCTCAGTGTTGGTTGCATTTAATCAGCTTCATAGTTGGTTTCTATTACTGAGCACATGCTGCTTTTGGCAGCAGTTTAATGATAGACAGTGTATTTAATGAGCTTTCCTTGTATGCAAATGTAAAATGAGGGCTTTTTCCCCCCATGCTGACTGGGGGTTGGGGAGGACTCTTATCTTGTATTCAAGTAAATATGGTATTTTATTTAAAAGGAGTGTGTGTGTGTAGTGGGGGGTGTCTGTTATGTATTATTGTGATGAAAGGAGCACGCTCCCAGGCCCAGTTGCAAGACTGGCCCACTTCTTTGTCTTTGGGCAAGCCAGCCACCTTGCTCGCCTGCCATGCATTGTTATAAATTGATCCAGATGTCCAATAGGCAGGAGGCTGCACTTTGAGTGCCCTGATGGCAAGGACAAAATGTACACATTCTGAGCTCCCCTTGACGTGTCCCATGCCTCGCAGATAACACACTCTGTTTGGTGTCACTCCAGCTTGAGGCTGGGCCAAACTCAGTACATAGTTAAGCCTCTTCCGTAGCGCCATATACTGGGCCACACACACATCAACCCGCTGTCAGTGGGGCCTCTTGCACTCTGCCTGCTGTCACCAGGTCTCTCTCATGCCACCTATCCAGGGCCTCATACACATCACACTTGCTCCCTTGAGCAACCCAAAAAGCCTTCAGGCTTGGCTTTGCACTCTTCAATCAGCCCTGGCACAGCCTTTTGGGCCTCCTGCAACCCTCATCTGAACAGGGCTGGATGATTAGCCAAACTGTGGGCCAACTTCACCACTAGCCCCTCACTGGGATACACTGCCCCTCCCTTGGGCTAATGCTGCACCCTCCCTACCTTGTGGCCACACTCTCCACTTTCTCAACTCTGCCCTCTTTCTAGGGCCGCTCAACTCCACTCTTTCTCTAGGGCATGATGTTGAACATCCCCGTAGGCTCAGGTAGCACACCTCAGTATGCCTGGCCCACTGCTTTCATTAAGAAACCCACCAGCATGGTGGAGCCTGGGGTTAAGGAGCCCCTACCCACCTTTCACCGGGGAGGTAACTGGTCTGGTATTTCTTGGCAGCTGTCCCACCACAGACAGCCCTGCCAGGCCACCTTTCCCTGGCAGGGTGCAATTTCAGGTCATGCCCAGGACCATGGGGTCTCCTCCTTCCCCATAGCCC